GGTGATCACAGCTTTGTAGTAAAGCTTGAAATCAAGCAATGTGATGCCCCCAGTTTTGTTTTTCTTTTTCAACATTTCCTTAGCAATTCGGGGTCTCTTCTGATTCCATACAAATTTTAGGATTGTTTGCTCCAGCTCTTTGAAAAATGCCGGTGGAATTTTGATCAGAATGTCATTAAAAGTATAGATTGCGCTAGTGAGTATAGACATTTTAACAATGTTCATTTTTCCAATCCATGAACTTGGAATGGTCTTCCATCTTTTTGTGTCTTCTTCAATTTCTTTCATGAGTGTTCTGTAGTTCCTCAAGTACAGATCCTTTACCTCTTTGGCTAGGTTTATTCCCAGGTATCTTATGGTTCTTGGTGCTATAGTAAATGGAATCGATTCTCTAATTTCCCTTTCTGTATTTTCATTGTTAGGGTATAAGAAAGCAACTGATTTCTGTACATTGACTTTGTATCCTGCCACATTACTAAATTGCTGTATTAGTTCTAGTAGTTTGGGGGTGGAGTGTTTTGGGTTTTCCATATAAAGTATCATGTCATCTGCAAAGAGAGAGTGTAGTCCCTAGATTTAGAATAGTGGACAGAACCAGCTCTATAGGCCCAGTGCCCATGGGCTGCACTTTATTTGGAGGGAGGCAGGAGCTCTGACCTGACTTTATGTGCCTCCTGATTACTGATAGTGATTAAGGGAGTCAGCCAGGAGGACCCTGATTTTTCCCTTTTAATATCACTTCTTAATCATTTCCCTATGTACTCATATATTGGAGACGTGATAGTTCTACCAACTATTGCAAAAAAAAGGCCTGTGATTTATATACACATAATTATACCACAATGGTTGTTGCTCATTGTGTTCTGGGATATGTCCACACAATATATAATATCACAGTAAATCCATTGTACTATACTGGGTGCAAAAATGTCTTCAGCTGTACCATCGCCACTAGGGAGTTCATACATTTTCTCCACCCACACAGTTACAAGTCATGATCCTATTGTTTTAAAGACCATCTTGCCAATTAAAGAGCGATCACTTTTGATCCTTTCTCTTGCTACTCAAAAAACTAAGAATTGATAAATTAAGCTCTTTATTGGATAGACTCTGTGAAGTTATAGCCAGGTGACATTTACTGAGCTTGACACACATTAATAAGTCTTCACAATAACCATGTGATATAAGCACCTTTGTCATTCCTATTTTTTTTAAAGATTTTATTTATTTATTTCACAGAGAGAGAGAGAGAGATCACAAGCAGGCAGGCAGAGAGGCGGGGGGAAGCAGGCTCCCTACTGAGCAGAGAGCCTGATGCGGGCCCCATCCCAGGACTCTGAGATCATGACCTGAGCTGAAGGCAGAGGCTTAATGCACAGAGCCACCCAGGCACCCCTGTCATCCCTATTTTATAAAGAAACTAAATCTTAAAAAAAAATCAAATAACTTAGCCAGTCATTTAATAAATAGATCATTGAAGGTCATTCAATCAACATGGTCATTCAGTAAACCAGGACTCAAATAAAATTCTGTCTGGTGCCAAGCCCACGTGTATAACCACTCTGCTCATTCTGGGAATGCATGTCAGATACTTTTAAGAAATTTTTCTTGTGTTTCTTGGGTTCATAGTTGATACTGCTCCTTGGCTATCCCCTCCTCCAAAGGATGTTCTTATCCTGCCTTTTGTTCCCATAGTTGAGAGACTCCATCAAACTAATTTCATCATGACTGCTCTCTTCCCTGACCCTTCTGTCCTTGATCAAGTCAAACTAGATTACCAAATGGTGGATTCTGATTTTAAATAGATCATTTCCAGAAAGTGCAAACTACTGATCAGTTTAGATGATACTTCAGCAAACTCCGTTCTGCCCAAGGCTGACCCAACCTGAACCTGAGATAGGTAGAAGTGTGGTCAGTCAGCTTCCTGAGGTAGAAATCACTAACCGTCATTAAAACATCACTAGAGTCAATCAGAAGTCTGTGTCAGGTTTGCCCCTGAAGTCAAAGTGCCCTCATGTGGAAAAAAAAGAGAAACATTTACCACACAAGAGGTTTGGTTACCTTTGTGATATTCTCTGGAACTGAATAAGCATAGCAATGCCACCAACACTGGGATCTGCCAGGAAATAATCCTGAAATTCTTAAACAAAATGGTTGTTTAATTTTTTATCTAAATTGTAAGCCTTTTATATACAATATAAAACTTTTATATTCCAATAAGTTGTCCCTCCCCTCTCAAAAAAAATTAAAAAATAAAATGGAGAGTACAATAGAGAAAAGTGGAAAATTTTCCAGGCAACATAAAAGTCCAAAAAAGAAACTTTAAACATAATTTGAAGGGGATCTGTGATTATGTGTATATGAATTCTCTCTATCCATTAGGACTATGAATGACTTATGACACTAAGTTGTAAGTAATGGGAAAACAGTGGTAGGAAAGACCATTTCAAATAGGTTAAAATATCATATTAGATCAGGGAAACCAGATTTCTCAATATTTAAAGAAGGGATTTAAAAAATTGGAAGGAAAGAAGGCAGAATCAGCACGGTGGTTCATGAAGTTGAGAAGCAATCTCACTCAAAGTATCCTGCTACAGGTGACTTATTCATTACACAGGGGGACACAGTAACTGGACAGAGGACTCACATCATCAGCAATGTGACCAGCTGATTCTGTGCCTCCTGATAAGATACACAGATGAGGACACAATATCACATTTGTGGTGTTTCTGCCCCAAAATGAGTGACTCAAATTGAGTCACAAGGAAACCTCAGACAAAGTAAAATAGAAAAAACTCCTATAAAGTAACTAGCTTGTACTTTTCACAATTGTCAAAAACATGAAAGACAAGGGAAGATGAAGGAATGTTCCTGGATTATAAGAGACCAAAGTGACATGACCACTAACTGCCACACGTGCTTCTGGATTGGATCCTGGACCAGGAAAAACAGTCACCACCAGAACAGTGCTGGGACCACTGGAGCAATGTAGATATGAACTTTAGGTTCTAGTATTACTCCAAAGTTCCAGTTTATTATCTTGAAGTCCCTGCTTTTAGGAAATACACAGTAAAGAACAATTGATAGAGAATCACAGTATCTGTAAGGTGTTTTCAAATTTTTTTTTAATAGGGAAAGAATGAGAGCAAATAATAAGCAAACGGAGCAAAATATTAACCATAGGCAAATCTGGGTAAAGGAAAGACAGGTGTTTTTATACTAGTCTTTTGATTTCTGTGAAAGCTTGAAATTGTATTAAAATAAACATGTTTAAATGCCATATTCTATTTAGAGCATTTAATTATACTTTTTAGAAGCATAGATAAAGAGTGTACCACCTTCCTATGGATTTCCTATTATTTTCCCATTGAAGCAAATTACCACAAGCGTAGTGGCTTGAAACCACACTAATTTATCATCTCATATGTCTGTTCTAGCTTCCAGAGGCCCCTGCATTCCACACCATCGCAACCTCTGTTTTCATCATCAAGTCTGGTGCTGTTGCCACTTCCTAAAAACCTACTGCGATTATGTTGGGTCCCCTAGATAGTCCAGGATAATCTCCACATCTCAGATCCTTAATCACATCTACAAATTTCTCTTATCACCTGTCCCAGGGTTTAGGATGTCTTTGGAGGGGGCCGTTATTCTGTCCATCACAAAGTAATTCAGTTTTTAATATGAAAAGAAACAATTCTATCCCCCTCCCAAATAAATGTTAAACAATAGTCAAAGACTTTTGGTTTGAAGAGGCAAACTCAGGCCTAGGAAGAGGGGATATGATAAAAGATGAGAACACAGGGTACCGAAGGCACTCTAATGTTCTAGATCTTAAGTTGGGGAACAGATTTAAGAATGTCTGTCTTGGGATGCCTGGGTGGCTCAGTGCATTGGGCCTCTGCCTTCGCCTCGGGTCGTGATCTCTGGGTCCTGGGATCAAGTCCCACATCGGGCTCTCTGCTCAGCGGGGAGCCTGCTTCTCCCTCTCTACCTGCCTGCCTCTCTGCCTGCCTCTCTATTTGTGATCTCTGTCTGTCAAATAAATAAATAAAATCTTAAAAAAAAAAAAAAGAATGTCTGTCTTATCATTCTTATGTAGTCTGTGCTTACACATCAATCTATTTATGATTTGGTTGATAATTGTTTTTAAAAACACACAGAATTCATTAAAATGATAGACTACTTTAAACTGATAAGGCTTACCTTTATTAAGGCCTAGAGTATTTTGAAAACTATTCTATTTAAATGTTTTTGGGAAAAAAAAAACTTTTAAGTTTATCTTCTCATTAGGGGTAATTGTAGGGAAACATGATCTTAGCAAACCTAGCAACTAATGCCTTGAACCTTTTTATGACAGAGTAGCCATTACTTCATCAATCAATCAGAATGAACAAACACAAGTTGTTACCATTAAAAATTGTGCAGGAGCAAGTCAGTGGTTGTCAGGTGTTCTGGGTGGGAGGAGGAGAGTAAATATAAAGAGACACCACGACAAAGTTTTTTGGCACGATGGATTGTTCTGTATTCTGATTATAGCAGTGATATAGACAAGAATCTTTAAAATTCATAGAACTGTACACCAAAATAAAAATGTCAATTTTACTTTATGATAATGTAACAAGCAAAAGCTTAGTGTATAATGCTCAAGAAAAAAAAAAAATTGTGCTAACCTATTTTGATCCAACAGTTTTAAACCTAGGAATTTAGCCCATGAGACATATCCATACCCTCACTCACATGTTCACAAAAACAATGAGTATATTCATGGCAGCAGTAGCAAGAAGCCTGGGCCCTACCCAAATGTTCGTCAGCGGAGGACTACTTAAACACATTATAATGCTTTCATGCATACAAGTCATTAAAACAGACTCTAAGTAAACTGACATGTAAGAGGATGTTGTTCCACAATTGGCTAGAGATTGGGATGATAAGCAACCCACATACTAAAAGGAGGCTAAAGTACTTGGAGGTCATGTGCCTCCTCAGGGCAGATAAAAAACAGCTAGATTGGCTGAGCTACTCAGCTGTCAGTACGTAACTGTCTCCAATCTATACATACACATGCAGACCTCTTCGGGAAACGAATTCGAGAATTTTCGGTCTTCAGATGACAGCCTTGTGGTGAGTGTTCTGGTTTCTCTCTTTCCTCATGAGGGGGCTGTCCCTCAAAAGAATTAAGTAAGGGGAACAGAGATGAGAGGTGCAGGCAAGACAGGGGTCCTCACATTTACTCTGTGCTCACATATCTCCTTCTTCAGTGGAATTGCTCATCTGTCCTCTGTGTCTATCTGAGAAGGATATAGAAAGAAACAGAGCTGGGCAAAGAGGCCACAGCCATAAGGCAGTCTATCTGTCCATTCTTGGGTGTGACAAAGACATGGGGGCTTCCTGAGAGTGAAACAATCTTTGAAATGTAACTTCCTGGGTACCCTGTCCAAGAGGCTTGGTCACCGGGAGAGAGGACCCCATTCTGCCACCCCCGTGAACATGGGACTATCACATGAACTGTTCTGGGTGGGAGCTGAGAGGGAATTGGAGAAAGTTAAACTCCTGCGTGTTTTTCATACCACAGAACTGTGCCCTGAGGAGAACTTTCTCTGGGATCTTCCTGAAGAAGCCACACATGTGACCCATGAACAAGGCAGTCTTTAGAATACAGCAAGCACCCTCTGAACACCCCAGCAATCATCACCGTAGTCCCCTGTGTGGGCTGCCATAACAGAATACCACAGAAATGTATTTTCTCACAGTTCTGGAGGCTGGAAGTCTGAGATCAAGGTGTCCAAAGGGTTGGTTTCTCTGAGACCATTCTCCTTGGCTTCACATGGTCATCCCTCTGTGCATGTGAGCCGCTGGTGTCTGTATGTCCAAATTTCCTCTTCTTATAAAGACACCAGTGAGACTAGATCAGGGCCCACCCTAACGGCCTCATTTTAAATTAATCACCTCTCTCAGGGCCTTGTTCTCCAAATACAGTCACATTCTGAGGTATCGGGGCTTAGCTTTTCAAAGAGTTTAATTTCAACATGAGATTTTTGAGGAAGGACACAGTTCAGCCTATAACAATCCTATAAATAAGAGACACTTGCCTCTCTGCTTCTTCCTCCTTCTCATCCCAATGAAAGAAGTAAAAGGGCAGAAACAGTGAAGGGTGACCCACACCCTTCTCTACTCCAAATCCTCTCACTGAGGCCTGCCCTGCACTGGCAGTTTTGAGGAAGAGAATGAACATTAAACTGAATGTGAAGGGCAGTCAGGTGAGTGTAGGACTCTTGGTTTCAGCTCAAGTCATCATCCGGGGTCATGAGATCAAGCCCCATGTCAGGCTCCATGCTCAGCGGGGAGTCTGTTCAGGATTCTCTCTCTCCCTCTGCCTCTGCCCCTCTCCCCCCACTTGCATACACTCTCTTAAATCTCTCTCTAAAAAAGCAATGTTAAAAAAAATGGATGTGAAAAAAAGTTGAATGTGAAATTTAGTTTCAGACTACTCTAGATACTTTAATAATAAAAAGTGGCCAGAGGGACACCTGGGTGGCTCAGTCAGTTAAGCATCTGCCTTCGACAAATAAATAAATAAATTCTTAAAGAAAAAAAAAAAGTGGCTAGAAAGCTATCAGATCTGCCCAAAATATCATGAAGGGTCAGGAAGGGAGATTTCATGCAATATGATGGAAAGACATGATTGGAAAGAAAACCAAAACAGTTTCCTGTTTCTGGTCTATTGAATGTAGCCTGTTTGATAAGTTGATCATAATATACATTGATATGGAAAGAAATCCATGATATAAAATTCACTGACTGAAACAGACTGGAGAACAATATGCGTGCTTTGCACCTACTTGAATTAAAACAAAACATGACAGATGTCCATTGTTCTTGGCTGCCCAGCATCCTTTTCCTTGACTTTTCCAGTAACGGACATTTTCCCCAGCAATGGATTGAGCACGTGACTCCATCTGAGCCTCTAGTAATATGTCATGCCCTGCCTAGGGTGATTGATGAATAACAGATTGAACCAGGTAGAAACATGTCCTGGGATTTTTCAGGCCAGAAGAACAAGGTCCCTTTCTTCTCTGGTCACAAAGTTGTAAGGCTCAGAGGTGGGAGCTGCTAGTGGTCATGTTGACAGACTCATGGAGAACACATTATAGAATATTAAGCTAACATGCAGAAAGATGTAGAAATGAAAGACAAAAACAGTGATTCCTGATGATTTTCAATCATCCTGAAGGCCAGTTCTACTTCTGTCTTTCCAAAATTTGGGGTATTTGTGCCAGTTAGGCCTTTCCTCTTGCTTAAGCCAGTATGCTTTTGTTCTTATCCCTTGAAACCAAAGAATCTCAAAAATAAAAATATGTGTTTATGTAGTATAGTTAATATTCCATGGAATATATCTAGAAAGAGATACATAAAACTGTTAACAGTTGTTAATTCTGGTAAGTGGCATACCTCTTCTTTATGCCTTCTTGTATTATTTTAATTTCTTTATATCAACTATTTGTTACTTTTGCAATAAAACACATTTGGGGGGGGCACCTGTGTGGCTCAATTGGTTAAGTGTCTGCCTTTGGCTTGAGCCCTGATCCCAGGTCCTGGGATCAAGCTCTGGGTCAAACTCCCTGCTCATCTGGGAGTCCGTCTCTCCCTCCCTCTTCCTCTGCCCCTCCCCACCTCGGGCTCTCTCTCTCTCTCTCTCTCTCTCTCTTTCTCTCAAATAAATAAATAAAATCTTTAAAAACTAAAAAAAAAAAAATTAAACAAATTTTAAAAATACATTTAGGAGATGGACAACACAAAATAGTATAACACTGATGATAACCAAGAAAAATATATGAATATACATTGAATAAAATTGGAAGATGGATTTAGAATAACGGACATTTAGCTGAACATTCTCTTTCCATGTAAAGTTGCTTAAACTCTTCATACAATTTTAAAAAGGTAATCCTTTTTAAGGTTCAAGGTAAGATCAGAGAGAGAGAGAGAGTACTACATGTGTTCAGGACAACCAAGCAATACATATGGAAAGAACCTAATGCAATGGGTGTGGCTGTGGAAAAGAAAAACCACAGACACCTTCAGACCTGCCTTGTGAGGTCACCTCTGAGTTAGGCCTCCTTGCTGAGCAGAGATGACTCCTCACTCATCTGCTTCCCAATGCAATACCCAATACACAACTTCATACCTCACGTAACTAAGACAAGGACATTGCTGGTCCTTGTCTTAGTTACCTCTCAGGACCTAACAAATTACCACAAAGCTTAGAAGCTTCAAAGAACAGCACTTAGTATCTCAGAGTTTCTGTGGGGTGCAGGAATCTGGGCAAGGCTGAGCTGGGTGCCTCTGACTCAGGGTGACCCACAAAGCCATGATCCGGGTATCACCTAGCGTCAGCTGAGGGTCGATCCTCTTCCAAGTTCATTCACTTGGCTTCAGGCTGGCCTCAGGTTCTTGCTGGCTATTTGCTGGAGACATTAATTTCTTGCCATGTGGGCTCTTGATGACAGGGCAGTTTCCTTTTCCAAACTGAGAGGGTCAGGGAGCAAAGGAGGGAAGGGGAGAAGAGCAGAGAGGGAGAGACAGAGAGAGAGAGAGAGAAAGGAGAGCAAGATAGAAGTCACGGTCAACCAAGGGGGTAAGGTCCTACTGACATCTAGTTTGTAGAGACAAGGGATAGTGTTAAGCATCCTGAAATTCACCAGACAGCCTCCCATAACAGATGCTTATCTGGCCAAAATACCAATAGTGCTGAGGTTGAGAACCCCTGACCTTGAGTGTTGAATGCTTGCAAAACATTTTATGTGCATTTCCTCAATCCTCACAAAACCCTATGAGGTAGAGAGGTATTATCTTTCTCTTTTATTGCTCAAGAGACTGAGGCTTTGAGAAGTTCAGTGGTTTGCCATCTAGCAAACAAGTAGGGGGGCTGGATTGGAACATAGGTCCATCTCACTCCATCACCAGGCTCCTCTCCTGGGAAATAGCGGGGAGAGGCAGGAAAGAGAAAACAAGGTCTTGGAGAGGGGAGTGGGGCAGCGCCCTGTCTGCCAGGAAATGTTCCAGACACCACTCTTAACACCTCGTCTGAAATTTGCAATGAGGTAAGAACATAAACCTGAGCAGACTCTGTTCTCTGAAAAGAGAACAGCTTAGCAAGGTGCTAGTTTGAGTCAGCGCCGAGCTGGAGATGGGGATATCTGTGGTCTTGAGAACCCACAGTGCTCACACTGACGGCATCCTCTGCTTTCCTGCTCTGGGTCCCAGCTGTGTCTCCAGATGAATCACTGGTGACTGTTCAGGGAGCCCCGCCAAGCTCCCCTTCATTCTGCTTTCAATATGGCAGGCCCGGTTTCTTTCGTGCCCAGGGACATGCCACCAATTAGATCACATAATGAAACGTCTGATAAATACATTTTACATTTCTTATCACTGCTGTCTGAACATGTTCCCCAACCCAGTCCCCTTTTCAGACTTCGGGATTTATTTCCTCCCGAGCCCCTCAGACAAAGTGGGAACATTTCATTTTCCAAGGGATCATGTCATCATGATATAGATTCTCTGGCCTTAATTACGTCCTCTCAACACGACTTTCCATTTGCAGAGTCACCCCTTTATCGGTGGTGCTCTTTCTTTTAATAGGATGTGCTCCTTCTGTGATGGAAACACTCAAATCCAGTTTCCAGTGGCTCTCCAACACCACTGAGAGCCTGTGAGTACCACAAGCCCTTTAGAGTGTTTGAATTAAAAATTTCTAGTTGTGTGAGCATTATGAAAGTTTGTAGTTCTTCTTGGAAGTTTCTATAAAAGATCCATTTGACAAGAAGAAGATTGTCTTCTTCATTCTGGAACTGCAAAAACAGACACACCTTTCATCTGCTGATAATCTGGTGGAGCTGGCCTGCCGGGATTTCAAAGGGCACACATTCTTTGGCTAAATATGGCCTTGGCGCATGAGCCAGCCTTATAGGAGCCTCAACTGTGACCACTTCAGTCTGTGACTGAGTGACTAATGTCATTTTACCTTGTGCATATCATGGCCTGAACAGTTGGGTGGGGGAGGAGAGGAAGGGAATGGAATTCTCCATTTGGTCACTTGGTGGACCAGCTGCAAGGTTGTATGG